CCTAAGCATGACCAAGATGTCCAAAGAGTGGATAGTTGAGCCAGGTATATTATCACATGTATTTGTATCAGATTTCTTTGATCTCAGTTCATCTCCAAAGAATGCCAGTTATGCTTGCCTAGAGTGTTGAGATTTATATTCCTATTTTCACTTTTTGATACACAGACTGGAATCCTGACTCAATTCAATGAAATACAGTTTTCTTTGTAAATTGGACTTCTGAATTTCAATTTTTTCCATACTTAAAACTATATTCATACTTAAAAGTTTTATTTTAATACCATTTATGAATTCTTGTTCATACCCCTAACCCTAACCTCTCACTGAAAAGTGAAGTGTCAAGAATAATAAACTTTCATTTCCTATGACTTCTAACAACCACGGGATTTATATAATTACTCCAGGACAGGATTTCTAAAAGGTTAGGCAGTCAACTTACATAAAATTTATTCTGATACTATTATTTTATGTATTTTATTGTTCTATAATTTCTGATTTGTCCTTTTGGTGGACAAAGTTCTATGTAATATGTAGATAATATTCATATAATAGTATGCCTCTCTGTCCTTACAAAGAAAGTTACAGATGATGGCTGATACCCAGAGTCAGGAGACAGTATTTCAAATGCAGATAGTCTTTCTTCTAGAATTCAATATATTTGTAATACATCATAATATGGTTCTATATTAAGAAAATAACTTGGCAGCATGATAACAATGTTAGTGAATGTAGAGTAATAAAATAATTTAATTATGCTGTATGAAGGAGGTATACACATCCAAGGAAGGAAATTAAATTCATTCATATGGAAGAGTTGCTGCAACCAATGAATAGAACAAAAGAAGTCAATTTTCTACACACTGAAGTACTTTGTAACAAAGATTGATGTAAATGGTATAGAACCAGAGGGAGGAAGGAAATGCAGTCACTTGTCTGTTTCTGTAGAACTCAGAGAACCTTATTCTAGAACTCAGATATTCTAGAATTTAAATGAGAGACAATTGAAACACAGACTTTACACATACATTTGTTATGTAAAGTCTCAAATAAAATGTTAGTCTATGTAGGTGGCTATTATAAACAATCTTGAATAAGGCTGTAACTATAAGACAATGGGATCCAATAATTCATCTTTTGGTAAGCCATTCAACTGTTATATTCTATGAAAAGAAGGAACTATATTTATACATATTTGAATACACATGCATACACACACACACACACTATATATATATATGTATGTATGTATTAAGAAACCACAGTCTAAATGCATGTATATAAAACATTAATAAGACAAATGTAATTTTAGATAATAATTTTATTTAAAAAATACTGCTAAATTATTTTTATTCTGATGTTGTTAGTCATAAAGTAAGACACAATAAGAATACATGTTAGAATGAGAAGGCCAGTAGTAATTAGGGTAAGGAGATAAAAAAATTATGATGAGACTATAGAGAAGAAAGGAGAATTTATCAAATATGATGTGTAACCACTTACTTAAAGTATCTGTACTGTGATGTCACTTTACATAAAATTATCAAACTATTACATTCTCTAAGGTGTTTTGGTCTCTGCAGCTACTATAAAAGCCACTGTAACAAGTGAAAATATACACTGACTGAACCATTTTCATTACTAAATTTCCTATTACTTGGTTTTGAAAAGTGAGTATTTTTTAAGCTTACTCACAGATATACTAAATTAATAAATGATTCTTCAATCATGAATACAATTTACACTTTATAATAATAACCAAATACATTATTGGAAAGCATGCAAGTAACTCCATACTTCAGTATTTGACTCTCAAGCTATAAGTGTTACATTGACTGTTTTCACTCTGGGTATTTTGTTTTTTCCCATGAGCACTGTATACCGAATGAAGTAAATCTTCCATTAAGTGTTGATTCCTTCCTGAGTAATCAAGGCACTTCCTTTACTCTAAGCATGAGGTCAATTTTCAACATGAAACACCTTCCTGCTACTTCTCTTAAAAGGCAAAGCAAAGAATCACAATAATATTCAATTTTCTATTAATCAAGTATTAAATGAGTTATTGGTTGTAACATTCAAATTATCATTATTGAAATTTACTTATCCAACTCAAACAAAGATAATGTTGACTTTTAGCTGTTGTAGTCACTGTTCTATTGCTGACCCCACTTCAAGTACCAACTTAATCATTGTCCTCCTGCTAGGAAGAGACACCATGACCACTATTCAACTGAGTGCTTGCTTGCAATTTCATACATTAAGTCCATTATCCGCATTGTAGCAAGCATGGCAGTAGTACCTGAGAGCACTGACCTACAGGTGGAGGCAGAAAAAGAGAGAGAGACAGACATAGAGAGAGAGAGAGACAGAGACAGAAGAGAGAGAGACAGAGACAGAGAGACAGAGAGACAGAGAGAGACAGAGACAGAGAGACAGAGACAGACATGGACAGAGACAGACAAAGACAGACAGAGAAACAGAGACAGACAGAGAGACAGAGACAGAGAGAGAGAAGAATAGACCTCTAAATCTTTCTAACCTTACAAAGACACACATGCCCTAGTAAGCAATAAAATACATGAGCCCATGGGAGCCATTAGTATTCTACAATTCTACAAAGGCACTACTACAAGTAGCTTTGACAATTAAATTCAGAAAACCAGAAAGTTAAGAAACAATTTAGACTATAAAGCTCAGATCATTCCTTAATAATATAAAAATGTTTAAAATGAATACCCATTCAGGATTTCATGTTGTGAAGTATAGGGCTTTCTTGTCCTAATTTTGTCTTTCTTCTGTTTAAACATCCCTCTAATTAAGTGACTGTGATTTCTCTCCTACCCCCACAGTATTGCTAGCATATAACAAGAGAAAAGTCATTATTGTAGACTGAGCTGAGGACTTTGACAAAGATGATTGAACTTGTGGCAATCTTAACTGGGCTATAGGGATGATAGGTACAATGACAGGAGCTTGAAACATAAAAAAAAAAAAAAACCATTTGAGTCTTTTGTAAACTTGAAGTGTAATTTTCAGTTAGGAATGAACATTGGTATTTTTAATATATAAATTAGATACTCAAATGTGCTGATACTCTGCAGGTCATGAACTTAAACTGATAGTAAATACGGTTTAAGATTAATTATAAAGGTGAAAAATTGTATATTTTGTAGGTTGTTCATGAGCTTAGTATGAGCAATGAGGATATGATTAAGACTCTTAGCCATCCAATTCCTGGTGAAAACTGTTTAGGATTTTGGTATAAGACTAAGGAAGAAAAGTCAGTAAAAGTGTTTCAAAGTTGCAACCAGCATTGGCTTTGTCAATCAAAGCAAATCATAGCCAAACACCTGTTTATATGTATTGCATATTGAAATTCTAGGAATAAAAAACTTCTATTTATGGTAAGTTTTTGTACAATGACATAGGACTAAAACTTTCTCACAAAGCATATGTCTAGAAACATTTGTATTTCACAAAAGGAATATCCCATAGATGATATCACAGTAATTACATAAAGAGAACACCAAAAAATCACATAGTATTGTGATAAAAATTGAGAGAAATGAGCCTAAGCTTGGATATAGAAAGATGTTGGATATTGGCAACATTTATTTTATATTTAAAATAAATATGTTGTATGTTTTTTTCTCTGGAGAGATGATACTTTCATAGCAGATTTTCACTGAAACCAATGTAGGACTATTTAGCTTCATTACTTAATAAATTTCTATTTTTTAGTAATCTGATGAAGCACGTGGATACACACAATAGGTTACAAAAAATTCCATAGAAATCATACATAAAACAATACAATTCTACAGATTCTTAAACTGTATTTTTGTCTTAAATGCTAGACCTAAGTACATGCCCCAGATTACTAAGTTTTTATGTATGTAATGTGTACATATTTCCCAACTAACCAGCCCAGTGAATGCATATAGTATATTTTCATGCCTGTTTTATTTAAAATCAAAGAAACAAAGTTGCCTGTATATCTGTTAGTAGCATAACTGCCAATTTCACACTTGTAGTGTTTAAGTTTTGTTACTTTGGTATTTGACGTGTGTGTATGTGCGTGTGTGTGTATGTGTGTGTGCATGCACGCATGCTCTTCTCTCTGTGTGTTTAACTTTATGAGATAAATTTATCTGAATGCTAGTTACAGGTTACAGCCTATTATCGTAAGTATTTCAGGGACATTCATTTAAACATTGTTGTCCCAAACCACAACACTGTATTTGTCAAAACTTCTATCCTCTTCTTAAAGTTCATTTACTTCCTTTTAATTTCTGCACATATTGATTTCTAGATATTCTCCCATCTTCAACTGTTCTATTACTAGATAGTTTGAGGGTTTTTTTTTTTCATTTAGTATGTTTAGAGGCTTAAAGAAAAACAATAAACCTAGATTTAAAAAACTTTGAGTAACAAATGTTTATTAATCTAAACTATTCCAGTCTAATATTCTACAGTTTTTATATGACTATGTGTCTGTATCACTGAACTTACCAATTGCCATAGATAATAAGGAATTATTAGCAATACTTTAATGTTTCATAGGATTACACAGTGGTAACTGAAGTAGAAAGATTGCATATAATTTCATATAAAATAAATGTGATTAAGTAATATATGTGATAAAATAATATGTATAAAGACTTATACATTTCTCCTAATTAATATAAAGAGTCATTTGAAATTCAAAGAAAGAATTATTGAGATTTTTCCCTCAATAATTATATTATGCAAGTCATGACTTGAGCTACTCACTAATCCATTTTAACCCATTTTGTGTTCTTTCTGCTCCACCTGGTCTGCCTACTCCCAAATCCTTTTTTTCCATCCTTTTTGTTTTTACCTTTAGTTCTCCCCCTGATGGATTGACTCCTCCAGAAGACAGTCCATTAAATATGACCACTACTTACAAAGCACTTAAAGAGAAGAGAAATACTGGCAGCAACTCCTTCCCTATATAATTGTCTTTTATCCCTTACTTCATAATGACAGTATTGGATGTCTTGGAACATGTAAAAATTACCCTCTTGCCACTGTGTCTGGAATTAACTCTGTTCTTATCTGGATGGCCACCGATTGGGAGATCCCAATACCACAGCCCCCCTGAAGTAGTGATACCTTTGAGAGTCACAGGCACTTACAGAAGTATGGATGATCCAGGTTGGATCTCTTATAGCCTACACTTCGGGGGTCAAAGACACATTGTCCACATGAAGGCCAAGAAGAAATTGATATCCAGATCTCTCACTGTGTTCACCTACACTGACCAGGGTGCTCTTCTTGAAGAGCAGCCTTTTGTCCAGAATGACTGCTACTACCATGGTTATGTGGAAGGAGATCCGAAATCCATGGTTACTCTTACTACTTGTCTAGGAAACATTCAAGGAATGCTGAGGACAAATGGAATCACTTATGAAATCAAGCCCAAAGTGGTTTCTGCCACATTTGAACATCTAGTGTATAAGATGGATTGGGAGGACACAGAGTATATACCCATAGGGTTTAGACTAACAAAAGAAGAAATAGCAGATCAACTGAAATTTCAAGTGAATGACAATTCCACTCTGATGCAAAGTTCTTATACAGGATGGTGGCTCCACCAATGGTTTCTTGAACTAGCAGTTGTAGTAGATCACGGAAGATTCATCTTCAGGAACAGAAATTCAACAACTGTGGAGATGGATGTAGTCATGGGTGTCAATTTAGTAGATGATATTTATCACTCAATTAATCTTGATGTGGTTCTAATTGCAATTGAAATTTGGAATGCAGGAAACCCCTATACAGTAACTACCACACGCCACATGATGGAAAACTTCTGCAAATGGAAGCAATCCAGCTTCAATAAACGTGTGGTTCATGATTCTGCACATATTATTGTGAAGCAGGATTTTTGTGTTAATGATCTTACTGTGTCCTATTTTTCAGGAGTATGCAATATTGATTTGAATTGTGGTTTAGAGTGCATTATGGATGATAGACTGGCTTCATTTAGGACATATATGACACATGAGATTGGTCATGTGTTGGGGATGGAGAATGATGAAGGAAAGTATTGCACATGTGGGAGAAACATATGCATAATGAACAAAAAGCTAGCACCCTCAGATGCATTCAGCAACTGTAGTTATGAACAATTCTTAGAGACTACTTCTAGAAAGACTTGTTTACGCAATCTCCCAAATCCAGCAACTATTATTACAAAGAAACGCTGTGGGAATGGAGTGGTTGAAGGTAAAGAGGAATGTGATTGTGGTTCCTTAAAATTGTGTGCCCAGGATGTATGTTGTTTCCAAAACTGCACTCTGGTATCTGGGGCAGAATGTGCTACAGGGCTGTGTTGCCAAAATTGCAAGTTCATGCCATCAGGCACATTGTGTAGGGAACGTGACAATCAATGTGATCTCCCAGAGTGGTGTAATGGAAGTTCTGGTGCATGCCCAGAAGATGTGTACGTGGAGGATGGAATCCACTGTGTGGGAATGAGTGTTTGCTTTCAAAAGCAATGTAATACCCGTGATGAACAGTGCGGAAAAATTTTTGGTAAAGGAGCCAAGAATGCGCATGAGAACTGCTACCTAGAAATGAACACTAGAGGAGATCGCTTTGGTCACTGTGGTTTGAAAAATACTAACTATGTAAGATGTAATGAGCAAAACGCTCTATGTGGGAGAGTACAATGTGAGAACGTGACAGAAATTCCTCGTTTGCACAACCATTCTACTGTGCATTGGACTCACATCGATAAATATAACTGCTGGAGTACTGACTACCATTTTGGGATGAGAGTACCTGATATTGGTGAGGTGAAGGATGGTACAGAATGTGGTTCAGACTTTTTTTGCTTAGGAAGGAAATGTGTCGCTGTACAATCATGGGAACAAGCTTGTATGCCTCAGTTCTGCAATGAGAGAGGTATATGCAACAATAAACATCACTGCCACTGTAATGAACATTGGGCCCCACCCTACTGCCTGCACAAGGGCTCTGGAGGCAGTGTTGATAGTGGCCCCCCTCCCAAGAGACCACCGATCCAGGTGATTTTCACTGTACTAGTTATTTGGACTATTATTTTTAGTATATGTCTCTTCCTTTTACTTTGTCGTTTGTGTTTAGAGAATAAAAGATATGAGCGAAAAAGGAGGTATGTTGCAGCTTTATCTAGGAAAAGAAAACGTGATGTTAAGAAGTCACCGAAGAAAAAAGAGGAAATTACTGGAACAGAACTTGAGGAAAAGCAAAATATTGAGAATTTGTTATCTGAGGAGGAAGAAGAGAAACATGCTGAAGCTGAGGAAAGAGCCGAAAATCCAAATGCTCTACAATAGATAGATGCCATAACAATTTGTCTCTCTGTAAACAACAGTAAAATATTCATACCTCGTGTCAGAAATAATTGCAAAAATGTAGAATTTAAGCAAAATACACCCAGTCTTAATGAAATATCCCATATATTCTTTGCTGGTGTTCTTGCAGCAGAATATGGCATAAATCAGTGACTGTTGAAAGACAATCCTAGAAATCTCTTGTATTTCAAGATCATAAATGTATAACCATCAATAAAGAAACTTTCTAGCATATCTCCATTTTTCATTAACTTAAACTTTTAACTAGTTTATTTTTTAGTTGTTGAATTAGTCTGTGTATGTTTTCTGATCAATGCACAGATAGTTGATGGTGTATCTTTATTAGTTTGTTTTCTCTCAATTAGAAAACTGTTTCCTTTCTCACATGAAGAAAACAAAATCACACTTGCTTTTCTTTAGGTCTTCCTTCCACTTTTTGTCATTAGGAGTGCTACACGGAGACTGATAATCTAAAGGACGAGTTGGTGAGAAATTTATGTCTACATTGCCCTGGCAACAGCTATTGTTTTAAGTCTGTGCGTTATTACTGAAGTTGTTAACTTCAGACAAATAAAATTCAGCAAAGTTTCTTTGAACAAGGGAGGTTTCATGCATTACTCATCCATTGACTCTCAGTATAAGGAATACGAAGTAAGCTTTGCCTCTTTTCCCTTTCTATAAGATCCTTTGCATTCTTTTTGGAAACCCTGACTCTACCTAAATATCTAATTTCTGGCCAATTTGTGTTTTGTTTACTGTTATTGAAGTTGTCATATCATCACCTCCTCCTTAACATAATACATAGTCTAGTTTTGGTAGAATGTTCATATACAAAAGAGATAGAAACTTAGTCATATGTCTCTATGGTTATATAATAGTTACTATGTAGAAAATACTTAAATGGTACTAGATACATATAAAATACTTAAAATGTAGAGAAATGATGTATATATATTCTTTCATTTTAATATTACTTTATGTACATGGGTGTTTTGCCTATATGTCTGTATACCATGTGTAAGAAGTGCCATCGAGGACGTAAGAGGGTGCTAGATCCCTCAGACTAAAATTAGAGATTGCTGTGAGCCACCATATGAGTACTGAAAACTGAACATGATCCTCTTTTAAAAAAACACTCAGTGTGCTTAACCATGGAAACATCTCTTTGACTTCTTAATACAGATTTTAAAAACATGTATTACCAAAATGAAATAGCATTTTGACAGATATCACACTCTCTATTTAGAAAGTAAACTATTAACACATTTAAAACCAAAATATGTAATAGATTGTATTTTCAGAAAATTCTTCTAACATATTACCACTCGATAAAATAAAGTTTTAACAAACCACTGACTTATCCAAGTACCTTTGTAGTTATGAATAACAAACTTGCTTTCTTGAGCAATCTATTTACAAGGCTGAGAATTTGAATCAATGAATTTACTGTGACTGCCTAACATTATTGCAGGTTCTCACTCCTGTACTCTATTGAAGACTTTAAGTGTCTCTCTGTACTACCTTTGTGCCCAGTGCCTACTGAGGCTAAATGAGGGCATTAGATTCCCTTAAAACTGGAGCTACAGTCAGTCTCAAGCTATTATGTAGGTGCTGAGAATTGAACCTGGATCCTCTGCAAGAACTCCAAGTTTTGTTATATTTTTTGAATCTGAAGAACCATATTGAAATTTTGACCAATAAATAAATATGTGTGTCATTCTTATTTAACACTTTTAAACCTATGAATCCTAGATCTCTCCTAAATTATTAGACAAGCTCCTTTTTAATTAAGCTATAGTTTTCACATTGCGACAATCATTACATAAAATCAGAAGAATATACTATACATGGCATTCTTTCAAAAGCTACAATATAAAGTACAGTCTACTACTTTTCATTGGTGACATACCTAACATTAAAATTACTCTTATTAAATAAAGTATAAATAAATGACAAAATTTTAGTTTAATATACTTTATATTACTCATGTAAATTGAACATATCAGAAATAAATGCCTTATTTTATCTTCCACTTTTCAAAGCCAAGTTAATTAAACCAGTATTCCTTACCTTACATCTGATTTCTGTGTATGGATATTTATATAACTATTATAACATTAGTGAATTCATGGTTTTTTTTTTACAAGTACTCAAGAAAAATCTAGCAGTAAACCATAAAGATGTTATTGAGAGTAGAGTTCAGAATAAAAGCGTGGTCATTCCAGGCTTACATTTTACTGAAATGAAGTATATATAATACAATTTTCCAATATTTATGAAAATTATACCAAAGTTTGTTTACAGTGTTCTAAAATCAAATTTTAATCAATCCAATATTTTCTCCAAGGCAAAGTATGTTGAACAATGAGTAAAAGGTCACACATGCAAACATACACCCAGAAACACACACCCAGAAACACACCTATATACATATATAGAGACATATAATGATGCTAATTAATAAAGATATTAAGAATGTAGAAGGCTACATACAAATGAGTTAAACAAAGAAAAGGAGAGGAACATTCTAGTTGGCCAAGATACAGTTTAAAATCAAGTGGGTGAAGAACAATGAATTTGGTGAATTAAAAATCTCTGCCTGTCTACAGTTCTACTAGTTGGTAAGAACAGTGAAGCTTCCTAAGGGACCAAGTCAAACAGTGCTCCATGAGTATAATGATTAAAGTTTATATTCCTTCAGAGGCAAAGGAAAGCCACTGGGGAGTTATTTACCTACAGAACAGACCCAACATAGTCACATAGATGAAGAGAAAATCTAGATAATAGGCTTTTACAGAAATTCAGGATAGCAAAAATTGTTGCTTCTCAATATGGATTGTAAATGTGAAGATGGATTGTAATAGAGAATAGTGTTAGAGGTCAAAAAAGAAACTTTACATCTATCTGGGTTGAAAAAATTCAGTGATAAAATGTTTCTAATATGTATAGCTAATGTATGTTTAATGCCCTTCAATAAAATAAGGAATACAGAAAAAGATAAAAATCTGTATTTAATTGACCAAATTACTATCGCTCACAAAAGAATATGTTCAGTAGGAAGCTTGAACTCTGTATAGGTTAATACTGAAGAACCAATTCACTTTGGGGGGTGGGTGTGTTCTCATAGCTTAACTGAATTTTTCAGGGTTCTAAGCAAGTAGATGCTGCCGTGTAAGAGTGGGTAACTGCCATAGAATTTCTCCCAAGTATTTTGAGCAACAGCCAAGTAAAGAGGATAAATGGTAGGCTCATAATCAAGTATGTTCAGTGACTTGCTGGATGTCTTTTGTAGTGTATTGGTGAGAATTTCACAGGGAGGAGTCCAAGAAATGAATTTCTTGTATATGTAAAATATATTAAGAAGGGATGTAATATCTGATATAAATTTAGAAAGAGAAGCTGAGAGAGAGAAAAATATGAGACTTTTGTCTTTAACTTCTGAACATGACAGTACATGATTGAATAAGGACAGTTAGCCATTTGACATTGAGACATGATGTTGTCTACAAATGTCCTGAGTCATATTCACAGCTATCTTGGGACACATGCTGTTATTGTGTCTATAATGAACATGTGCACACAATTTTCTTGTCAGCCTCTCCTAAACAATAGTCCAACAACAATTAAAACAGAATCTATACTGTATTGTTATATATAATATTGGTATGATTTAAAGTCTATAAATGATATACAAAGATTATATTACTGCACAATTTTATTTAAAAAACTTTAATATAAGTGAATTTTGACATTTCAAGGGTCCTGTAATAAGTTCCTTTCATATTTATAGAGAATAATATTAGTTTTATGCTTCCTTTATTGCAAAGACAAGAGAAAGAGCATGTTCAGTAGCTATAGCAGATACCCCGTAGCACATAAAATCTAAAGCATCTGATATATGGTCATATATATAAACAGTTTGTCATCCCTTCTTTTAGAGAAATGGAGTGTGTTTACTGGCAGCCCTGAGGCTTAATCATTAAGATTGTGAGCTTCAGTAGGATTATTTTTTTCTCTAACCATATTTTCTAAGTTCACAGGTGGAATTTAGGGAAGATGAGATAAATAAGGGTTATTATATTACCACATCAGTGAATAAAAGGTAACAGTTCAAAGTAATGGAAGATTGAAATTTGTGACTGCAATAATGTAGGAAACAGGATGAGGTCAGTGCATTATTAACGGGATATAGGTTATACAGCAGGACCTTGAAGGGTATACAAGCAATAGGCATTTCTTTGGCTTCAGTATAGTAAATATTCTCAAAACGTGAATGCTAGTTAAGAAGAGGTGCCTAAAATTTAGCTTTTATGTGGTTTGCAGTGGCTAGAAATTATAAGTTTTGGAGATTTGAGTAGTTAGGGTGAAGTAAGGCCAAAACTACTGTAAGAGAAAATAAGTTATACCCTCTATGTACCAAGTTTCAAGGTCATATTAATATTAGAACTTTTGGGCTTGCTCAGCAAACACCTCTCTTGTTTTACTTTAAGCGTGAAACTTGCATTTACATAAATCAAGAAGAATCCTATTTAGAAGTGTCTGGAAGCTACCAGGTGATTCATGTGTATGAGACAAAAAACAGTAAAATCTAAGTGAAAATTTTCTTAAAACCAACTGCCAATCTTTACAAGTAACACAATACTATGTGAAAAGTATGTTTTTAAAATCAGTTGCATCTACTTAAATTTCTAAGTGTCTTAGAAAGCAAAATTATTTTACAGACATAAAGACCTTTTGAATGACTGCCTCATTAACCTTCATTCCCATGGTGAAAACATTCAGTTCTCCCTTCAAAACGTTATTGTATTTGATTTCGAAGACTTGGTATCATCATATTTAAAATAAAACATTAAAGGAGGAGGATGAATATGGCAATCATTTTCAACATTGTGTCTATAAAAATTAGATGTAGATTATAATTGTAATGGCAAGTAAGTCTGAGTTGTGTTTGCTGGGTCAGTAGAGGGAGAACTCTAAACGGG